AAAATCTTTGTTTTGTTTTTTTTTTTTTTATGTATTTTGGGAGGAAAAATGAGATAAACAAGAAATTGAGCATGAGCATAAATTCCACAACTTATAAAATAACATACTATTAAAGGTTAAATAATATTAAACATTTTATATTTTTTTATATTGAAATAGCTTTGCATAATAATTAATAACATATATTTTTTATGATAATATAATAATATATTTATACACATACCATATATGTACTATATTATTAAAAAAGTTCTACAGGGGCCCGTGCACCTACGGCCCCTATGTAAGTCCGCTGCTGGTTATACTAAATTAGCCATTTGTGAGTTAGGTTAGCTCGACAAACTTTAAAAATATTATATTTTTTATAACTTCTTGAATTATTAGCATAATTCAACTCATTAATGATCGAATTTGACATGTTTACAGCTCGTTACTCAATTCCTATATATTAAGAACTCGAGTTTAAGATCGAACATCAAAAGATCAAGTTTTATTCAGCTTGTTTACAACTCTAATGGTACATAAGTGTGTCTATGTACTTGCAAATGAGATAGATCGATAGCCATAAAAAATTTGGAATCACATTTGAAATACCAACAAAAAACACAGGCAATAAATAAAATTAATTTATTGAATTAGGATTAACTAAGCAGTAAGCATGTTCTTGGATACTTTAGACAAACAATATGATTATCCATGTGAAAATCGAAACATAAAAATGACTCCATTTGTTGTCCCTTGAACAGGTACATCTTCAATTCTGTTAATTTTTATTTATTTTTTATTATGTTTCTTAAGNCATCACGCCTGTTTGGCTGCAATCATTTGGTCTGCTTTCTCATAATTCACCAAACTCAAGACCCTCTTACTAAAATAACATAATATGTTCTCTAAAGAGGGTTATAAAAAGATTTAATTACATACATGGTTAAATATAATCATAACTACTTTTAATGTGAAATATTATATATATTATTTTAAGAAGTTAATTGAAAAATCATTTAAGAAAAATATAGCATTTTCAGTTTCAATATGGAATAATATTCATTTTTTGAGTGAAAATATTTTCCTTTATTTCACTAAATAGGGTCGACAACAAAAAGATTTAATTGCATACATGGTTACAAATTGATTTCTATTTATATCATAATGTTTTCAAAGAAGATATAAATAAAAAAAAGGGGGAAAATGTCAATTAAGCGTAGAGTTATTAAACAAATCGAGCCAAACTGGTTTAGCTAACAAACTAAGACTCGGTTCATCAAGGCTCGAGAATAGAGATTTTTTAACAATATTCTAAACTTTTACTTAATACTCAGCTCGTCGAGCTCGAATTCAGACCGTCAATATTGATAAATAAACAGGGTTTCAGTTTGTTTATTAATTCGTTTAGTTAACAATTTTAACTCGTTAAAGCTCCAGCATCATAATCTCGAGCTCGTTTGACTCATTTACACCACCAATTCTGCCACACTCCATGACATGTGCCTAAATATTAACTTGTAAAAAAGGACTTTGTGCATGCATATTGGAAGTACACAATAAAAAATGAAAAGAAAAAGGCACGCTTATATATTAATTAAATTATTAATTGTAGTTGATAAACAATCAATAATAAGTTTAACAACAAAATCACACGAGACACAATAAATTAACAAAAAAGGAACATTATAATTTTAAATTAACCTATTGAATAGTCGAGTTAAATTAATTCGCCACCCGTAGTTGTAAAACTGAACTTACCATTACTCATTTACCCGCCAGAAGGCAGGCCCAGAATGCGGCCCAAAACGGGCCCATCTCACTAATATAAAAACACACACTCATCCACTAAAAATAGACACACCACACAAAAACACTCACTCACACATCTGCACATCGACTTGCATTTGTTCCAAACAGGTTTGTTGCATGTTTGTTCAATATTAAGAACAAAAACAGTTGAAAAAAAAGGAAAAAAAAAATTGAAAAGAAAAATGGAATCGTCTGATAAATCGGTGGAGACAGTAATGGTGGGAAATTACGTAGAAATGGAAAGAGAGTCGTCAGACGAGCCGAGAGGCTTCAAGTCGAAGGTTTCTAAGCTGTTTTGGCACGGCGGCTCGGCTTATGACGCCTGGTTTAGCTGTGCTTCGAACCAGGTACTTTTTTTTTTCCTTTTTTTTTTACTATACATATTTTGCAAGTTAATTTTCACAATTAGGTAATGGGTAGTTTTGCATGATTATTGCACTTTTGGGCATACTATACTTTTTTTTTTTCATTTAGCGAAGTATTTTCTTGCATAAGTTTGTTTGCCATTTGTTGAAACAATAACACTTTTTGGTCCACTAAGTTAGGTTGTTTTCTATTTTTGCCAATAATTTGTTAACGTCCGAAATCAGTCTAATAATTCTTCAATTTTAGCCAATTTGATCCAATTTCGATCCCAAACACCATAATTCAGCAATTATTTTATCCGAAATTGACCCAATAAAATATTAAGAGTTATTGAGCTGATTTTACTAGACAAAAATGAAAAACATCCTAATTAAATTAGTGGGCTAAATCTGCAATTTTTTTGTCAAAGTTAGTGGAGGACATATTCAAAATTATATACATATATGTTGGTGTTAGCAAGAATGGGTAATTTGGGATTTATTATTATTATTATTATTATTATTATTATTATTAATATTATTACTATTATGTGTTCATTTTTTGCAGGTGGCCCAAGTGCTTTTGACATTGCCATACTCATTTTCACAGCTGGGCATGATTTCTGGAATTGTTTTCCAGCTCTTTTACGGCTTAATGGGAAGCTGGACGGCTTATATAATTACTGTTCTGTACGTGGAGTATAGAACAAGGAAAGAAAGGGAAAAGGCCGATTTTAGAAACCACGTTATTCAGGTTTTAATTATGATTAATTAATTAAAATGTTAATATTATTTAATAATTTTACATTTAGTATAAGGTAACCAAACCATAAAAAAAGAGAACATTGTCATTTACAGTTCACACTTTTTTCACACTAATTATTTTGTTATTTTTATTTGCAGTGGTTTGAAGTTCTTGATGGGCTTCTGGGGAGATATTGGAGGAATGTGGGCCTGGCTTTTAACTGCACTTTTCTTCTGTTTGGATCTGTGATCCAACTCATAGCTTGTGCAAGGTACATACATATAGATATTCATTTTATGTATACAAAATATTCGACTAAAACACTTTCAATTACTTACTTAATATGTCATTTCGTATGAATTCGCATGGTAATAGTTAAATTAAAATGGTGATTATTAAGATATTAACACACGTGGCTATTTTTATTGCAGCGGCTAAGTTCAACCAATGTTCGACTAACAGACTTTCAATTATTTACTTAATTAATACGCTCATTTCAATATGAAAATATTTACATATATGGTAACAATATGATTGTCGGTTAATTATATCTGCTTGTTTATATCTGTCAGTAGCCATACTACATAGATGTATTCACGTGATAATAATTTAATTAAAAATTGCAATTATTAAAATAAGAAGATATTGACATAGATGGCTATTTTATTTTTATTTTTTTTGCAGCAATATATATTACATAAATGACAATTTGGACAAGAGAACATGGACTTACATTTTTGGAGCATGTTGTGCAACAACAGTTTTTATTCCTTCTTTCCACAACTACAGAATTTGGTCATTTCTTGGCCTCTTAATGACCACTTACACTGCTTGGTACCTTGCCCTTGCATCTCTACTTCATGGACAGGTACTAAATTTAACTTTAGTAACAAAATTATTAAATATTAGCATTATATTGTGCGACACGGCCGCCTGACCGTTAGGCAAGTCGATTTATTACATATATATATTTTGAACAAGAATGCATAATTACACTTTGAAGTGACATACTTTTGCTTATTGTTTTCATGAAAAGTATTACTACAAATCGACTAGATTGCAAATTTAGTCTTGTTAGATTGTGAATGTAGCAATTTAGATCCTACTGATATAACATATGGCATTTAAAGTTATTTGATTTGAAATTTTATTGCAATTTCAGTTCTTTGGCCATCGAATTTCTCGATATATATATTTGGGATGGATTTTGCTTCTCAATTAAAATCCTGTAATTTAAAGTCTGCAATATTCTGATTGGCTAAATTGGGAATTTAATGGTCAAATGACTAAAATTGCAGCAACATTTTATACATTACTCTCAAGTGAGACCTAAATTTGCTTCAAGGTTTTTTATATTTCTTGATTAATCATATGTATAAGTTACATTTGAATTAAATGATACCAAATTTGATAGGTTGAGGGGGTGAAACATTCAGGCCCTACCAAGATTGTGTTATATTTCACAGGAGCTACAAACATTCTTTACACATTTGGGGGACATGCTGTTACTGTGTAAGACAACATACATTTTATTCTAAATTAATTTCAATGTCTTTTTTCTTTTCTCAAATTTTTATTATTAGTAACACTACTATTACCGTTAAGACAATATATATATATATATATATATATATATTTA